GCTTGACAATGCAGCCGCCTGGCGACGATGACTCTATGTTCCACTCGAAATGAATGTCTTGTCGATAGCGGAAAAGGCCAGGGTTCCAGTTCAGATACAGGCTCTCGAAGTGTTGTATGACCTGCTCCAATCCAATCCAGAATGTCGTTGGATGCGGCCGATCCTGAGTGGGGACACTATCCCTGTGATAACTCTCAAGGCTGTAGTTAGAACCACGACTGGAGGTAGACGCAGGCGGATCCATGGCCGTCACAGCCGAAGGGCGAGGGCCGCGCCAGCCTTTGCCTTCGACCCATGGATTCTTGACGAGCAACAGTCGATCATGCTCTGTCTCCCTCATATCCAGCACGACGTAACTGTGTTGGCCCTCGAGACCAAGTTCACGCTCCTGCCTGGTCGACATCTTGCCAGTACCTGCTGTGACAAGAACATCACCATACATGAAGGCGTTGTGTATGCGCTTCCATATCTGATCTGGAACCGTATCGGCCCTATAAGAGTTAGTATGGTCAGCTTTGGGATTAGAGAAGAAACAACTTACTCTTGCAAGAAGACCTGTTCCGGTATCCAGCCGGTCAATGTCCAGAGATCACTGCACGAGTTGCTTCCAGGGAAGTCGTAACCGCCGCGGACTTTCAGGTATGCTTTCTCAAGCAGTGCTGGCCATAATAGTGCTGGATTACGGCGGTCGAAGACATGAAGCAGTCGATGTGTCTTTGAGACAGGTAGTCGATCATCGATAACCACCTTTCTCCAACAGCCGTTGAAGTTGAGTCGTATGATGTACTTGCCATTAGACGAGGTTAAGGGCTTTCCAAGGTGCTTGTCATAAGGATATATCTTATTCGTGAGCATCTGCCACAGTTAGCACCGAGACTGCAGAATTTCCGAGACTGGCAAACCTGATCGTGACCGCGTTCTGAGCGAGCAATACCAGCGCATAAGCTTGTGACCACCGAGCAATCTGAAGCTGCATCCTGTACAAGATCCAGAGGCCTCGTGCTAGACATCAAGGGTCCGATACTAGCCCTATCGCTAGGAGACTGCGACGGTGGCGGCACAGCTTCTTTGGCACGCAGCCAACCGAGAAAGAACTGCTGTTGGTATGAAGACAGACTCAGATCTCGTGTATCCCTGTCGCTATCAGTATGTCTGAATGACCCCGACATGACCATCGGGTAACGTACGTGTAGGCTGCCTCGCCCTCGGATACGAATTCATCCGCAGATGGAGTCTTGTCCCAAGGTGGAAACTTGAAGCCATTGACTGTCGAAGCCTTCAACAAAATGATGCTTTCTTTTGTGGGTAATTTCCTGCTCGAAATCGGCTCTCGTAGCCTGTGTATCTGAGAATGAGGTGCGGTTGAGGGCGTTAGAGCTGCTGTTTGCGACTCGGGTACTCCAGGCTGAGACTCTGCGCTAGAGGGCTGTGGCACTGCAGATGAATTCAACACGGATTCGTGTCCGTTCTTCGGATGGTTGTCACGGTCAATGTTGGCGTTTGAGCTATCTTCGTGTGACGCATCAGTGACTGCACTTGGTACATCGATTGGAAAGGCGTCATCCGAAAGATCAATAAGCGGCATTAGATCTCGGCGCGCATCTTGCTGGAAAGAAGGGACGACAGAAGAGAGATCTGACTGATGAACGAATGCTGAGAACGAAGAAGCTGATGATTTACCTGAAGCTGCTGGACCGTCGATAGGTCCTGTAGTCGAAGAAAGAGCCCAACGAGACGTGTTTGAACGCGTAGTGGAGTCTTCAAAGGTTGTGCCCGGAGTCGCAGTCCCGGCAACGTCTTTGGCCCATCGACCAACTCGCTCATCTCTGGTGTTTGAGGACTGGGGTTTGACTAGAGGTGTCCATGATACAGCGGCCTTGATGAGATCGGCACGACTCAACATCTCGCTGCATTGCGCCTTGAGGTCCTTCCTTTCGTCTGGGTTTGACGATAGTTGGATCGCTTCCATGAGGTTCTCGGCCACGCTAATTGCGAGACTGAATGCTTCATCCTTGGTAGCGGCTTTGTCAACCCGCGAGCGATAGTCCTGGTAGCTTGATTAGTTGGAGCTACAACGCGGGACTTGATGTTGCAGCGAGAAGTTAGTTGTCTGTATCACATACGCTTGCGGCCGCTTTGTAAGCCTCAATCTCAGCGGCCCGGTCAGCCATCGTGAATGGCTTGAGACAGGACACGGTAAGAGAAATATGACCAATACTAGCAGCGACGACGAAGCTACTTGCGTTGTGCCATAGCGATGCGACTGACTATGGGTAAGTGGAGTCAAAGGCGCACTAAGAAGCTGTGATGGTGCTGTGGTGTTGTGATGTTGTGATCTGGGGCTGGAAGTCTTAGCGCAACGCACGTTCCTGCCAAACGGCCGTCGCGACTGCCAGGCGCAGCAGGAACAGCCAGTTCCAGCACATAGGTGACGAGTCTAGACGTCTCCTTCCACGTGCGAGACATATCCAGCCAGCCAGGCACGGCTCGCTCACTTTCACCGGAATGATCGACAGCGGCTGCGGTGAAGGAAGGTCCAAGGGAGCAGGGTGTGTCGTCATCCGAACCTGAACCTCGGCCTCTAGGACCTCGGGAGAGGTCAGCCATGCATGCGACAGCGCTATCGCGTTGCGGGCACCATGAACGTCCCCTGCCCGCTTTTTCTAACTTCCGATGCTGCTATCTCCAATCTTCAGATTACTGCTGTCATGATGAGATAGTCCGAATTAATCGCAGATTCCACACCATACCCTCCGCACGTCACACACTTCGCAGTCGCAACACTTCGCCAAGCCTTAGCAACTGTACTCGACCACCACCATGGCCGGCCAGTCAAAGGTAGAAACTCTGCCACCATGGGGTAATGCTGTCGCAGGCGCCGCTGGTGCCGTCATCGCGAACACCCTTGTCTATCCCCTAGATTTGTGCGTCGCAAATCCCCCGAGCCTTCTTGGGCAGCAGGAAAAGATATTAACACGACCTCAGGATCAAGACGCGACTACAGGTCCAGGTTAAGCGCTCGCCTACGTCCAACGACCCCAATCCCGCCGACCACGAACACTACAATGGCGCCATCGACGCGTTACAGAAAGTCTTTGCGCAGGAGGGTCTCTCTGGACTATACGCCGGCATAGGAGGCTCTCTGCTCGGCGTAGCATCGACCAACTTCGCATATTTCTACTGGTATACCGTTGTACGCAGCCTCTACATGGCGAACCGCACGCTTCAAACGTCACCGAGCACGCCGGTCGAACTCTCCCTTGGAGCGCTTGCGGGAGCGCTCGCCCAGCTCTTCACAATCCCGGTCGCAGTCGTAACGACGAGGCAACAGACCATGAGCAAGGCGGAGCGCAAGGGCATGATCGCCACGGCTATGGACGTGGTTAACGGCGATGACGGCTGGACGGGGCTTTGGCGAGGACTCAGGGCGAGTCTGGTGCTCGTCATCAACCCATCAATCACATACGGAGCGTACCAGCGATTACGGGAAGTCATGTACCCAGGAAAGAAGACGTTGAAGCCTCTCGAGGCGTTCCGTAAGCCATGGCCACTCTCACAAGTCAAGGAAAGCTACTAACATCTGTCAGTCATCGGAGCCATGTCCAAGACGCTTGCCACAATCGCAACCCAACCGCTCATCGTCGCGAAAGTCGGTCTTCAATCGAAACCTCCACCAGCCAGGAACGGAAAGCCTTTCAAGTCCTTCACCGAAGTCATGCAGTACATCATACAACACGAAGGCCCGGCGGCGCTATTCAAGGGCATCGGACCCCAGATTCTCAAGGGTCTGCTCGTCCAGGGTTTCCTCATGATGACCAAGGAGCGCATCGAGCTCTCCTTCATCCTGCTCTTCCGATACTTCCGCCAAGTACGCGCCGAAAAGCTACAGAAGCTGGCGAACATTGCGGCAGAAAAGGCCGGTAAGGCAGCACCGATACTGGCCAAGTAGGCCTTGGCTTGCTGGCATATCCTTACCTTCATCTCAAGTGTATATATTCGGCTTTATACTTGGTTGCGAAGACGGATTGGCCGAGCGTTGTGTTGACTTGAATCTGGCGTTTGGCATTCATTGTTACCGCGGTTATACACATAGTCTGTCTTGTAAGCATTCTTGAATTTCTACCGTTGTGTACACTGTGCTGGTGATGTGTCATGACCATAGTCGCGGCCACGCTAGCGGAGGCGCCGTGCGGAGGCTGTGAAGAGATCCGAGCAACAATGTCCATTCACGCAAAGAAACCTTAACTAGAACGCCACGCTAATTCTCCGCTAATGGCCCACCATATCACGCCGGTCTTCAGTTTAGCGCTTCTCACTTCTCGGGTTCATCAAGAATTAGGCACACTGATCACGTACATTTGACTACAACCCATTGATATCGCCATAACTCCAACACTTTACTCCTACCACCTACTGCAAACCCACAGCATCCGTAACTACAGATGTGCTATCTCCGACCTACAAAGTACGCGTGCGGCCATGTTTCTCCTATCCACAAACCAGGCCACCAACGCCCAAGTGCCAAAGAGGATGCTAATCAATCAGACCCATACGCTGAGGTAAGATCCGAGGCATACGAAATGTACATAAGACATATACTGACTTCGGAATAGTGGCCAACACATGAGGACACTACGTTGAATGGGTGCCAGGATTCTAATCGTAGAGGTGCGCGATGCCCGGACCTTTTGGAGAACTTGGAGGTGGTATATCAAGAGGAGGAGGGCGGCGAGTGTGATGAGTGTAAGGCGAAGAAAAAATGCACAGTCTTGTAGGGGAAGATGGAGTGAGCCGATTGAGGGTACGTGAAACAGCTATGAATCACGTTGATAGGAAGGTAGGTCTCATAGTCGCGGTACAAACTGCGTCTCATCGGTAGCGATGCTCATAGCAGTGTCATGTAATCTACGAAGATATTTGTGCGGGTTGACAAGTATGCTCCGGTCGGCTGCCGAGTAATGACATATCCATGTATGCCGATGTACGCGACGGTATGTGTGTTAACCATGCCATCTAGAGTCTCCTTCCCACAGGCCCAGCCCGAGAGCCTCCTGCTTGATAGCATAGTACCTGTCTCGCTCCTTAAGCTGATCTATGTTAAATGTATTTCGACTTTACAGAATGGTTTCACTTACCCTGTGCTCCGTGGCCTCACGACTCTGATCCCCATAACTAGGATTTTCCCAGCTTTCATCGTACTCGGTTTGTCGGCGGAAGGTGAAGAGCCTAGGGAAGCCCTCGTCATCGTGTTCCTGTCTTCGCAGCATGTAGGTATCATTCCACGCCCGGCGGTCCATTTGTGGAGAGTAAACCGACTCGAGGGCTCCATCGTTTCCACGTACGGGGTACCACGGCGTGGTCCCGCCAACGCGCACCAGGGACAGCGTTTCGAGTACATGGCAGTGTTCGAAGAAACTCCTAGCTACGAAGCTTTGCTCTTCGTCGAGCTCATGTTCCCAATACATATCCCCAACGGCGCTGCCATCTCCTGAATCGTCATCGGAGAACTGCTCTTCCTCATCTTCATCGGTGATCTCTTGCCTGGCAGTAATGGAGAGATCGGTGAGCCTCTGAAACAAGCCGAAAGCGGTTGCGAAACTCTAAGTATAAATTAACATGAAAAAACGTTACAACGAGTAGCACTATGCGCTCGTACACTGATCTGTTCATGGCCAATTGCACCTCTCAAGACCAAGCTCTGGAGATCTGGTAAATACTGGTGCAAGCGTTGTATGTCTTCTAGTTGCCACGCGTCACAGCAAATTTCGACAAGTTTCAATCTCTTGAGAGTTGCTACCGTCTCCATCAGATCATCGTGACCAAGGTTGTACTCAAGAGCCAGTGTTTCGGTGTTAGGACAGGCCTCCACCAGGAATGACCAGTCGCCATGTGACAGAATGCGTAGACGTAGGACCGTGGGAAGAGTAACTTCATGGCGCTGGAAGGTCGCTCGTAGGCCGGATATATCGACGTCCTTACGATGCGTAATGGACAGTTCAACGAGAGACACCATCTTCGGAAGAGCCTTGGCAAGTCGAGTCCTGCAGAATGTTGTCTTGCCTCTCGACGTGGTGACTATATCACAAGCCCTTTGGATTTAAGAGATTAGCATAGAAGCGACCCGAATGCCCAAACTATCCATAATACAGATCCATACATACTTGATGGCTGGTAGAACCTCAGGAAGGGATGGAATAAGCGGATTGCCTTCCAAATCTCTCAAGCGTCGATTGAGGGCGCCCATGGAAGAGGCGCAACGGAAAACATGCGCGAAAAGCTTAGGAATAGAGATTGCTCGCATTCTCTTGCTCACTAGTGACAGGCAGAAAAGTGAAGTGCCTTTAGCACGAAAGCCAAAGCCCGTCTTCGGTTCCTTGCGCCCGATATTCCAGTTCCAGTGGTAGACCTGTATTGTGGATTCCTCGTGGATGTAGTCTATAACGATGGCAAGAACATCGTTATTCAGACCATCCAGGGTAAGTTGCTGAAACGGGACTGCCTGGGGACAATGCAGTCCTTGTACAGGTGCTGATGTCGGTTGTGGTGGAGTTGGCGGACGAGAGGGCAACCATTGTAGAGCGTAGGGATCTGAAGATCGCAGTGCTGGTGTCAGAACGGGGACCTGCTGGGAACCTCGAGTCGGGACTTCTGTGAAATCCTCCAGCACTTGTTGAGGCTTATGCGGATCAGGCGAAGCTGCTGTAGGCTGAGGGGATGAGTTTGTCATGGTTAGTGCGAGTGATCAATTTCCACCGAGTGGATTCGTATGCCTCAGATGACCTCGAAGGACCTGCTGCCGTGAACGGCTGCGTTTCGGTACGAGATGAGCTGGGAAGAAGAGTGCTAAGAGAAGATGAGAAGAAGCTGGTAGACGCGTCTGATTGCTCGCGTGGCTAGCGCGTCACTCTAGTCCGCATTCGGCGAAAGGCCCTTCCAAATCCTCTCGGGTCGCCCTTCCGTCATTCTGTGATGGGAATGCCTGGGTGTACAAATTTCGGTGTACAAGATGATACAATCTTCCCAAGAGCGAGATAAGTCTGTGGTCACGCGACTTTGATTCCAGCCTGACAGCACAAGATGGTCATATGCGCGGGCGCCGACATGATCTCGAGGAGCAGCAATAAAGTAGGATAATTTAGCATGTATGCTTACGAAACATACGCTATAGCCTGCCATTCTCAAGCTTCAGCTGGAACCTGAGCGGGCTTGTGCGCAATACACGGTAAAATAGTGGAAATGGATGTGATTGACGTCATCGATACAAGGGCATGTCATACTAAGGTCAGTGACTATACAGACTCTTTGAACGTACCCATTTCAACAGCACACTCTCATCCCGATAGCAATCTGTATCTAGCACAATCATGTCCGAGTCATCAGATCAATTACCATGGCATTCCATACCATCATCCACCGCAACATGCAAAGTCCACCTCATTCAGGCCGGCGGCATCCACATCCCTACAGACATGGTCTTGCTTCCCGGTCCGGACAAGCCGCAAGACCCGAACGACTCTAAAGACGAGAACGGAAAACGCAAGTCGTTCTATGCTCCAGATTACGTGTTCCTCATCGAGCACACAGCCACCGGGAATAAGTACATTTTCGACCTAGGCATGCGAAAAGATCTGGAGAACCTTCCGCCACTTCTCGTCGAAGGAGCTCTACCAAACTTCAAGTGCGAACCGAAGTCTCCAGCCGAGATACTGCAAGAGCATGGATCACCTGATCAACAGCCCGAGAAAGTCAAGGCCGTTATCTTCTCGCACATGCACTTTGATCATGTTGGCGATGGAGCCAAAGCTGGGTTTGAGGAGGCGGAGTTGTGGGTTGGACCGACCTGCTGTACCTACGCGAGACCGGGTTATCCGGTCGACGAGAAGGCTCCTACGCTTAGCGAGACGTTGCCGGTTGATGGTAGCAGAAAGATTGTGGAGAGCTATGTACCAGATGATGTCTTGAGAGATGCAGGAGATAAGAGGGCAGGGCAGGTCATGGAAGGCATGGTAAAGGGAAAGTATGCCGCTGTTGATCTAAAGAAGCCCGAATGGATGGGTCTCGGTGCATTTGATCGCGCATACGACGTCTTCGGCGACGGCTCAGCATACATCGTGGATGCACCGGGTCATTCTCCAGGTCATCAAATGATGCTAGTGCGAACGACATCAAGCTCGAATGAGGAAGAGAGTACTTTTGTACTGCTGGCTGGTGACTGTTACCACCACCTCGACGTTCTCAAAGAGCCCAAGCGCACTGCGAGACCTCCATATGCGAAGTCAGGCATGCACGCCGACCCAGAACAGGCAGTGGATACAATGCTGCGCACGAGAGAATATTCGCGGAAGGATAACGTGTGGGTCATTGGAGCCCATGATACCAGTGTCGGCGAGGGCATCAAGCCCGGAGTGAGGGAGATAGAAGGATTGGTAGAGATCAACGATTGGTCAGCGAAGGGTTGGAAAAAAGGGATGTAGAACATACCAAAGTATCACGATGACCAATTCATCGTAAGCAGACTATAGGGTTCACCCTCCATCGATCATCGTATTTGCAATCATTCACATGCTCCGACACCAAGCTCTTGGCTCCCGAGACACCAAAAGCTTGACCACCGTCTCCTCTCCCGAATCTGCGTCACACTGTCCGCGGCCCACCCATAGCCACCGCGTCCTGACAAGGACCACCCAGCCCCATCGCTCGGTATCAAGCGTAGATCCCGCGGAGTCCGAGCATTGCCGTTACCCGTGGCGAGGAGCAGTTCATCTCGCGATGCGGCACGCAGGGTTTCGGAGTGTTTGAGTGGCTTGGACGCATGAACGACAGTGGCGTGATTACTGGTACTTGGGATCAACGGCTGCCTGAAATCTGAGGGAGCCAGGCTAATTAGGCTGATCCTAACATTGGCAAGTATAGACAGGTAGATCGATATGGGATATTGTGGATGCGGACATTTGGTATTCGAATTGCATCATTAAGAATTCTATGGATATCGTAGACGTTGAACATGTGTCTTTAGCCGCTTGCAGCTTTCAAGATTAACCAACAACAACCAAAAAGAGGAGCGAATTATATACAACCATGTAATAAGTGACAATTCGCTCAATATAGCAAATGGTATACTTCTCATCTTTTCCCCGCGTTCCTTGTGATCATCCTCCCGACTGCGTCTAGAAGTTCTCTTTACCCCACACGTAACTGAAGCCTGGCTCAGAATACATGTTGCACTTGACGTGGAGCGTGGAACCAAGACCCTTGGGTCCACAGAAGAAGACACCGGCTTCGGCGGGTGAGTGAATCTTGCGAATGGACTTGAAGATCATGTCCCAGTTAGGGCGACCGAAGTTTGTAGGTGCGCGGAGACCGGTGATGGCGTCTTGCTCTGCGTTTGCGTCGTTGATCATGATGTTTGTCGCATCGTCGGCCTTGATCTTTGCTGTGAGGTACTGCGAAGAAGGTTAGTAGACCGTTAAGAGCCAGCGATGGACATAAGACTTACGGTGTGGATCTCGATGTGATCATCGATATCTTGCGCCTCGATAGCCAGCAGCAACGATCTGAACCATTCGAAAGATCCGAAGTCTCTGCAAATCCAGAAGAAGTAGACCTTCCTCAGTCTCGTACGGGATCCTTGAGGGTAGTTCATGCGGTACCAGATACTCTTAAGAATGGACGCGAAAGGAGTGACACCGATACCGGCACCGCAGAGGACGGCGACTTCGAACTTGAACACATCCTCAGAGGCCGAACCGAAAGGACCGTCAATGTAGACTCGGGGAAGAATTTGACGTAGGGCAATCTCCTCGCTGGACCCGCCCTTCTCGCCCTTCTCGCCAGCTGGCTTCTTGTCTGTGTTGCAGCCAAGCGCCTGACCGAAGGCCTTGGTGAAGTTACCGACCATACGAATGTGGACAGAGATGTAGTCTTCCTCGGGTGCGCTGGTAAGCGTGAAGGGATGGTATTGCCAGATGGAGATCTCAGGGCAGCACAAGAAGATGTACTGTCCAGCGCGGGTCTTGGTGTGCTCTTTCTTGATCTGAACTTCGCAAACGTTGCTGGGATGCTGGATGACCTTGGAGATGTACGTCTTGTGTCGTCCTCGTACTTCACGGGCAATTCGCTCGGCCAGGTACGCAAATCCACCATACATCCAGTACTCCCAGAAGACACCGATACCGTCGCAGAAGGGCGCAAAGTCAGGCTGAATCATGCAGAAGGCTCCGTGGATGGACCAGAAGATGAAGAAGACGATGAACAGATGGTGCATGTACCAGAAACGCTCGAAGTTGGCGCGACGAGCCTTCTCCGCAGCCGTGACAGCGATTGCCATGAGCGCAGTCAGCATAACGTAGCCACTCCATCCAGGTCCAGTTGCAAGGTTGGCAAGGATGAAGCCCATGAATCCCAGGTTATTGGAAGCCGAAAACTTGGCAAGGTTGTTCCAATGGGCGATAGTGTGGACCCAGGAGAAGAAGACGATAGACCAGGCGACCAGCTTGTGGAAGGTGATGTTCTTGTCGAAAGGAATAACGTCGTTCAACGGCGTACGACGAGCCATGGAGATTAAGTTCCTGCATACCGGGAAGAGGATGAAGGCAACGTCGACGTGCAATACGAGAGCAGCTGAACGAGCAATGGGGAAGGTCAGACCAAAGGTTTGTCTTGAACCAATGGAGTTGTCCTAGGACGTGTGAGCGGGTTTCGTCGTGATCTGAGCTATCCATTCATACCTTTAGCCCATAGTTCATCATACCAAAGACGAAGACCATGACGTGCAATATCGCAAATGTAAAAACAAAACTAGATACGTTAGTCGAGGCTCTTCACACACGGTGTAGTGCAACGTACAATCTTCGGTAACCCTCATTGACCATCCACACATCGAATTTCTCTTTCCGGGTCAACTCTCGCGCCTTCTGGTCCGACATCTCTCCGGACATGAGCATGCGCGTCAGTGGCGGCCATCGTGACCGCTCGCGACCTGTGAGACTGGTGGTGTACGACATAGTTGACAGAGGAAGCGAACGTAGCAGCGATTGAGTGCGTGTTGTGGATGCCGATGATCTTCAGACCTGCTGAATGTGGCCGAAGTGTAGCAATGAGTTCAAAGAGTGTCTAAGTAATCTGCACAGAGGTTAGATCAAAGTCACCAGCGACGACGCCATAGCACAGGAAGCCACAGGAAAGAATGTATGACTTACTAAAAGTGCCCGCACAAAAGAAGAGAAAAGGTACAGGAAGAGGCGTTCAGTCACCCGGCTAAAGAGGCACCGGCATGAAATCGGTCGAGTCTTGGGGTGAGTAGGGGAAACAAAAGCCTATAAGCCAACGTTGCAAGGCGGCGAACAGAGAGAAAAGCGGCTACGACGGGGGGCAGGACAAGTCAGGTCCGCTCTGCCATTAGCGAAGTGGATCAAGGGTATCAGTTCGTCAGATGGCTTGGAAGATGAGCAATCCAGGGCCCAAAGAGCGAAACGGTAGCAGAAGTCGAACCATCTTCCATGGCTTTGCACTGCGAGCTGCGACACAGCAAGCTCCGCCGTCTACCAGCGCGTATCGCAACGGGATCATGACCAATTAGGGACGCGAAATGGCGTGGCTAGGGCTAGACGCATGCCAAGATGGAGTCCTGAAACATGAATGACCATGCGCTTTAGTCTTCGGCATGCGAAATAGCAGAGCGAGGCGTTTGAGAGGTGTTTGGGACGTGGGAGGCTAAAACCTAGTGCGTTAGAATGGGGCGCCTTCCTGGGCACCTCGCCCCTGCCTAGGTAGTCGGTGGGTTGAGCCTCAACTGCCGATGGTGGCCTTGACTCCATCGCCATGCTCCGACTTTCGACCGCCTTCCCATGTGGACCTGGTTACAAGCTTCGATTGTACACGATAATCTCGCGGCATGGCTGAAAGTGACAGCTGTAAGGGGCGGATGCGCTTGGTGTTCGCACGCCTTGGCTGAAGCTTGGGATGGGTTCCACGACCGGTCACGTCTAGTCTCATGATTGCAATTCATTCGACTACTCCCGTACAACGATCGCTCTGCATACACGCACAGGTCTTCACATGTCGACGATCCAACGGCTGTGGCGTCATCGACTTCTGATCGGAAATCGTACTCGGTCGGTGGTATTCTGCATAGCTGCATGTTTGAACGGTGCGTAGCTACTAAATCCGATCTATTCCCGTCCAAACATCTCCGGTCTTGGAACCAAAACACCGTGGCCCAGATCCACCTGACGCTTCCATATCAAACAAGAAGCTTTGGTGCTAAAACAATGACAGAATCCACTACAGCTGGCGTCGCGTGCGCGCGAAGGTTGTATCGGGGCATCTTCGAGTGCTTGGATGGAGATAGGTGCAGAAGGATCAACGCACAATTGCGAAGATTTTATAATCCTATCCCTTCTAGGCATTAGAGCAGCACATAACTACAATAGTGTACTTTAGTTGTTAAGTTAAGATTTTTTTGAATTCCCATGGTTGAGAAACACTGAAGCCAAGGCTTACTCGGACACGTGATCCACTACAGCTTCAGGAAACCACCAGATGCGGATATTGCCTGACCCGAAACCCATTTCGCGTCGTCGCCACAAAGCCAGGCCACGATTCTCGCGATGTCGTCCACAGTCCCTACCCTGTTCTCAACAGCAGTTTGCTTCAACTGGGCCTCCACGATGTCCTTTGGCACATCGTCCAGCATCTCTGATTCGGTGGGGCCAGGCGCAACCGCGTTGACGGTGTGTCCTGCAGCGCCTAGCTCTTGTGCCAGACTCCGAGTCACGCCTTCTATCGCTGCCTTGGATGCGGTGTAGAGAGTTAGGTTCGCGAAACCTAGGCGGGCGCCTATGGACGACATGTTTATGATGCGGCCTGGTGCTCGTAGATGTGGAACAACTGCTTTAGTTAGCAGAAGAGGCGCACGAACGTTGACGTCGAATATGGCGGCGTAGTCTTCTGCTGTTGTCTCCGTGATAGATCTGTTCATCAAAACACCAGCGTTGTTGATCAAGATGTCGATCTTGTCACCGAACGCTTCCCTGGTCGCCGACACAATCTTTTCAGGCGCATCGAGTTGTCTAAGGTCCGCCTGAACAATTCTTGATGCGCTACCATTGCCAAGCGATTCGATCTTTGATGCAACCTCTTCCGCTAGCTTTCCGCTCTTTGGCGATGTGTAGACGAGAGTGACCTACTTCACATATGAGTGACTTGTTTGACTTGGTTCGAAGCCGTTGGACTGACGTTTGCTCCCCTTCGCGCCAGCTCTAACGCCAAGCCAGCCCCAATCCCTCGCGAAGCGCCTGTGACGATGGCAACCTTACCCTGTAGAGGAAACGTTGTTGGGTTCGATGAAGCAGACATGGTAACGATTTTTCAGGATATGTTTTGTAGATGAAGCTAGAGAGGAAACTTTCAATCGTATCTTATAGCACTCCAGTGCGCCCACATATCCAGTGACATAAGAGATGATGAGTGGATAAATTTGATGTGGCGAACTGCACTTGAAATTGCTACGTTATCGTGAACAGAGTGGATAAGGTCATACGTCATCGATTCATTACTACCGATGAATCTCACGAGTGCCGATAAGCTTCGGAGGAGATTGTGCAGCCTGTAGCAAGCATTTGAGAAGACTTTGTGGAGCAGATGTTACACAATTATCGCGAAAGCACATTGATCTTTGGCGTACGATGAAAGAGGTTATGTGAATGGTATGAATTATGTATTGAATATGAAAGTACAGCAAGTCGTTGGCTCCGAGACGAGAACGTCGTGTACTCATAGGTAATCTGTCTCCAGCCTATGCAACGAGGGGAGTATTTCAATCCGCGCTCCAATGCTTCAACAAGAGTCGGGTCCAGGTGTCCGGTCGAAGAGAGGTTGGTGTAGGCCGAGGGTGTTGATTTAGGCTCGACGGAGATCAGATTTGTCGATACAGTATGGGCGCAGTCATTATCCCAGCAGCTGTAGAGTTGTACATGGCCATTTCCGCCCGTTTTACGTCGAGCCCAGCATCCTTCTTCCGCTCTCTTTCCAAGATCACCGCTTGATGAAGCCAAGCAACGGGCCCTTCTTTGCATTTGGATCCTTCTTCTTCGGGTACATCTTAGATGTGACGAAGTGGACGTACCATATCAGGGTACCGAAGACTGATAGGCCGAAGATGACGAGGAAGAGGGTGATGACTGGCCGGCCGTCGTTTTGTACCGAGCGCAGGGCCGCAGGAGTGAGGATTGGTGCAAGCCATTCGAAAGCCATGGTGTATTTGTTGGGTGCGTTCGTTGAACTTAGGGAGGTCCCTGCGATAGTGTTCGTTCTGCCGGGGGGGAGGACGAGCTTGCGATGACGATCAGGGTTCAGACAGCCGGCTGCCACTAAAACGAATGTATAAAGATATCGCCAGCGATGTTGAAGAATCGAAGTAAGGAAAGGAAACGCGATGTTCAATGGCAGCTACAGAAATGCGCAAAATGCGGCACTTAGCGTTCATGTATCTCCACCGCAGAGCCGCTCAAGCGGCAGCGCGACGGCCAAACCAGACTCGTTTCGCGCATGACCTGACCTCTTAGCATCCTTGGCAGATCGCATGATGTTTACAGAAAAGGCCATACACACGGCGTGTAGAGCCATGTTGGACGTGAGGCGACTGTATGATATGGTGATTGTTTCAAATGCAAGGCGGGCCAAGAGACCATGGTGAGACGCTTTCGTTGCAGAGGTTCCGGCACCCGGCCCAGGAGCTCGCTCGGGCATGGAGCCCTGCAGGGCGTTTTGATGTAAGTTGCAGCTGGTGCCGGGTTGGGTGCGCATCCTCGGATACTCCTGCGTTCTCGGTCCTCGCTCTACTGGCTGTACACCGCATTCCCCCGAATGTCCCGAAGCATAGGTGCCCAGGTATCCACCCACGACAGATGTGACGGCGAGTCAAGCAGGGTGGCCACAATGGCCGACCACGTCGCAACTGCCGGACAAGTCAGTAAGCTGACTTCTGCGTGCTACCAGCACCGCGCCATGATATCTTGTTGTTGTACTGCGTGCAGTGCGGCGATGGCTCGTTGGTGGTGAGGACCAACTCGTCTGATTGCTGGTGGTCTCACGTAATCATGCCGCCCGCCCGGCTGTGATTGGACGCAGGAAAAACGCTCTTTTCACCGACAGTTCGCACAAATAGGCCGCATGGTTCCCAGCCATTTCTCGAGCTTACTGCATATCCACCCTTTTTTCCCTTGACCAAAATCCTCCATTAACGTTGTTGTGTAAGTGCATTCGCCGCTGCTGACCGTAGGTACCTGGAAAAGCAACATCTCATTCTCACTTTCCACGCCCAGAACCAATCTCGTTGCGCCAAAGGTCACAGTCGTACACAAGCTCCTTCGGCAGCGTTTGCATATTCTCTCGTCACAATGGCTCCCCTCCTTAAACCCGAAGACTCCAACTCGCCCACCGAACGACCTGTCTCCCGAGACTCCGCCGAGCGGGGCAAGAAGCGCGCAAGTATGTCCGGTTGCTGCTTCCTCGATATTAACCACGGACACCGCTGACGCTACGCTACTGCGCACAGGAACACAGTCAATGCCTCCGCCAGAGCTGCCCAAGCTAGTCGCCGAGCAGCATGCCCCCATCCCGACCAACGACAAAGACACACAGCGCCTGATCGTCGTCCTGTGCAATGCGACGCTGGAGACGTATAAGGCGTCGCATGGCACTGGCCGCGGCCCCGGTGCGCGCGAGGACAAGTACAACCTGCTCAACAGTGACGACCACATTGGCGTAATGCGCAAGATGGGGCGCGACATAAGCGAAGCCAGGCCCGACATCACCCACCAAGTGCGTACAAGAGGAGGTTAGCCAGGTCCCTCAGCTAACGTGGCGCCACAGTGTCTGCTCACATTACTCGACTCGCCAATCAACAAGGCGGGCAAGCTCCAAATCTACATCCACACCTCCAAGAACGTGCTCATCAGGGTCAGCCCTACAGTGCGCATTCCCCGTACCTTCAAGCGCTTCGCCGGACTCATGGTCCAACTCCTGCACCGACACCAGATCCGGTCGACGTCGTCGCAAGAAAAGCTCATCGAGGTCATCAAGAACCCCATCACCGATCACCTCCCTCCCAACTGCCGCAAGGTCACGCTCAGCTTCGACTCCGAGGTCGTACGTGTCAGCGATTACATTGGCGATCTCAACAAGGGCGAGAGTATCGCAGTCTTCGTAGGTGCTATGGCCAAGGGCAACGACGACTTTGCCGATCACATCAAGGACGACAGCATCGCTATTAGCCAGTTTAACCTCAGTGCCAGCGTTGCATGCAGTAAGTTCTGCCATGCTGCCGAAGACGTTTGGAACATCTTCTAGTTCAGCCGACGATCAAGCGCTGGACCTATCTATATTGGACACGCCAACTAGCCCACAAGCAACAACTGACTCACCGCGGACGAGTCGGATCACGGACCGCACAAACGGAAGATAACGGGAACTTTTAGGCTGCAGGACACGCTCATGGCTTAGATCGCAACATCAACAGCCTGAGCGTTACTGCATCTGATTTTGGGCGTCTGCTTGAGGTTTTTTTACAACAAAACAACTACTCTGGCTCAACGCACAACAATCAATCTTCTTTTGAAGATCGCGGGGCAGCTCAACCTACCCCGCACCTGTTTTTCTTTCACCTTGTTCCATCGACACAGCCGCTAGTCTGTATGCGCGCTGTGTTCGGTGTCGTACCACTGGGTCTTGTCATGGCCTGTCATTCGACCTTGAAATGTGGTTGTCAGTAGTTAGCTTGTAGGATATCGCGGCTCTCCGTCCACTCTAGGATTCACGAGCAGGAGGATCTTCAGTGTCAGGAATGACATGTCCGGCGAATGAAAAAGTATACTTCACGTCATCTTCGCAGTACGATCCCTTGAACCCCTCTTTCAGGCATATCCCTTGTAATTCTCTCGCTCTATGCCTTACACGGTTAGAATGTATCCTGGGGGCTCATCGCATTTTGCGCGTGTGGCGGGAGGGAAACGGGTAGAGAATCTATCCATGGAGCCGCATCGCCGATCTCCCATGATGATCTCGCGTAAACATAGAAAAAGCAACAGCATGGCAAGTCCTACCGACATTTGGGACAACTCCAAGAATCTCCGACGATGCCTGCAATCGTAGCCTCACTACAGCGTCATCTTGGTCCTTGGTTCTTGTGAGAACGATGCCCCATCATCGACGTCACACCATGTCCAATCGAGCGTTGCGACGACAAGTGGCGCGTCCAGACCGCAAATACTCTGTTGCACGCGACAAGCGACCGAAATGCTACGATTCCGTATCCAATGTAGCGTAGTGGGCAATGTGAGGCGTGCGACGACTTAAACCTCTCGCGGCTCCGGGCCGGCGCTCACAACCAATGTCATACACCGACACCTCGCTTACATTAACAAATTTGTTAGCTGCAGACGCAGGACATGTGGCAGCATCACAACATGTTGACAGCGACCTCCTTGATAGCTAACTGCAGCGGTGGGGCGTGCTAGTAGGGTCTGTCCCGCAACGGTATGGAACGCCCTGCTACTCGGTTCACGATGCATCGAGACGCTGCACCTGGACGGGGTTATGATATAAACCTCGAGGTCGTACCGATACTTCCCCCCTACTCACACCATACATCTCCAACCGCTCCAACTCGATCACACCTCCCTGTGTGCATTTATCCGCCTCGTTCCCTTCTCAATTCTTCGTTTGGCGATTGTTCTAGCCGCGTCCTGTCGTTCTTGTTCTTCACCGCTGTTCAGCAATGCCCGTCTCCCACATCGGCCTCACGGTATCGCATCTTCCAACTTCGACATCGTTCTTCCTCTCAGCGCTCCAGCCACTTGGCTATCGCTATATCGGCCAATATGGCAACCAAATCGGCCTTGGAATAAATGATTCCGATTTCTTTCTCTGCCAAGAAACGCCTGGGTCAGTACCACAAGGGATCACCAGGCACACCGCAACTGACAGCTGAGTAGCGTAAAAGCCGGTGCTGCACACATTGCATTCACCGCACCTAGCACGACCGCAGTCCGGAATTTCTATACCGCTGCATTGACCGCCGGTGGTCGTCCTAACGGGGCCCCGGGTGCTCGTTGCGCAGAGGATGGCCACTTCAACGCCGCAGTAATCGACTTTGACGGCAACAGCATTGAGGTTGTCTACCGAAATGGACCTGATATGAGACATGACGGGACCATCATCGAGCACAGTAGAGTCATTACATGGTCGAGGACCGTTTCGCAGAGCTTCCGTGAGAGCCCGAGTATCTTCAGCGCTCACACGTGTGCTTCGAGAACTGGCGCAATTCCAGTCGCACCGACAGCCGAATCAGCTGCTCC